TACTCGCTATTCAAATTCGAAATTTGTGATTAAAAATGAAAAAGTATACCTTACTACATCACACCATTGGTTTTTTGCAAAGCAATTTGAATAAATGGGAATTGTCTTTTTTTTTGACAAAAAAATTGAATCTTTGATTGAGGGTTTAAATTATACACCCAATTGAGGCAAGAAACTCACATGCTAAAACTTTCACTTTGTCTCTTTAGTTTCTTTCATTCTTCTCTTTTTTATAATGAATAATAAATATTTTTCACACTTGAGTAATACATTTTCACAAGTGTTTGGTACTATGTATTTAATAAGGGGTTGTAATTAATCTAAAATTATACTTTCAAATTAATTTAGTCCACAAAATAAATTTGTAATTCATGAGCCTTAGAAGGTCCATTATACATGTTTTATTTCTTTTTATAAAAAATGGATTCACTTAATTATAACACCACACATTTTGATGATTCAACCTAAATTTTTGCACACCTTTGGAATGAAAATGTTCAAACTCTTTTAGATTTATTTTATTTGTCATGTTTTATTTTTCATATCTTTTAAAAATAATAATTATAAAATTATTTTTATTTATTCATTGATCTCAATATAATACCACACATTTTTTCATAATGTTAATTTATCTTCATGACATTTATTGAGTAAGGGTAAAAATGAAGACTTATATTATTTCCAGATCAGTTTTACTTGTTTAGTGTTCACTTAGCATATTTCGAAAAAGCAATAAATAAAATGATTATTTTATTATATCATTTTTTGAATATAATTTAATGTTTTGAAAAATTAGTATTAGTGAATAAGAAAAAGAAAGAATGAATGTTCATATATGTAATTCTATTTTTAAGATAATCTTTTGTTTATAATACTCTCTACGTTCCTATTTACATTGTCGTCCTTATTAAATAGATCTTTCTTAATATTTGTCTTTTCACAAAAGTAATACATAAATGACACTATTTTTCTTATTTTACTTTTAAGAGTTTAATGTCTTGACCATATAAATTTGACTAACATAAAAAAAAAGAAAAACTAAGTAATTTTTTATTTTTATTTTCATCGATCAAATTAATTAATCGAAACATATTACTATTCATGTGCATTTATTGAAAATTGACTTCATATAACACTAAATAAGAGTATAATGACAAATTACCTAATTTCTTAAGAGACATGAAATAATATTTGTTAGTTCACAAAAACAATACATAAATGACACTATTTTCTTATTTTACTTTCGGAAAAGGGTCAAAATTGCCTTTGAACTATGTGAAATAGATCATTTATACACTTCGTTATATTTTGGGATCAAAAATGCCGCTGTTGTTATCCTACGAGACCATATATACCCTCAAGAGTTAACACCCCATATTTTTATTGACTTGGTACGCCACGTGGGACTAATCATTCCACCTTAGCATAGCCAACTAGGACTTATTACAAAAGAAGAAATCGTCACAAAAAGTTTTAACATTAAATTCTAATTTTGTGTTTTTTTATTCATTATTTTTTTAAAAAAAAACAAAAATGATATTGATTAAGTAGGAGTTTGAAGACAATGTATGTTTAATTTTTATGTTATATGTAAATGTATAAAATGTACAATGATACATTATATAGTATAGATGTGAATCAAGAAGTAATTTTCATGATTTTTCGTTATAATGTTGGGTGGTTTTAATATTAATATTGTAAGTTGTTTATTTTATAAAATTAGGTTTCAATCAAAAATTAATTATCAGATTTTTTTTGTTAAAAAAAAATAGGTTTTACTGTTAGTAGTCACTAAAAGTCATTCATAACCTTGCAATATTTTGAGATTTTTTGGTAACTTTGTCGCCACTAAAGATCAAGTTCTTTTGTAGAAAATCTTAGTTGGCAACACTTAGGTAGAGGGATTAGTCTCATCTGTCATGTCACATCACTAAACAATTGGGGTGTCAAATCTTGAGGGTACTTGTGGTCTCCTAGGATAACAACGGAGATATTCTTGATCCCAAAAAATGTAATAAAGATTATAAGTGATCTATTTCGCATAGTTTAGGAGCAATTTTTACCCTTTTCTGTTTTACTTTTAAAAGTTATTAGTTTTGAAAGTATAAATTTGATAATATAAGAAAAACTAAATAACTTCTTTATTTTCATCAATCAAATCAATTAATCGAAACATATTACTATTCATGTGCATTTACTAAAAATTGACTTCAAAATAATACTAAATAAAAGTACAATAATAAATTATCTAATTTCTTAAGAGACGTGAGATCTAAAATGACGATTGAGATTATAATATATTTTTTTTCTTCCAATATTTATTTAGTTTAAAAGAGGAGACTTTGTAGATGTGGTTGGGTGAGAGTTGGATAGATGTCTGTGAACTTTATGACATAACTACTAGTGGCAAAGATATTTCTTTTTCATAAAGATGAAGGACAAAAGATTGTGTACTATGAACATTGGGATTGATGCATATTTATTATTTCCACTTGTCAAATAAATTTTAATATCCTAATTTTTGTTTATCTCAATTTATATAATATTCAAATTTTAAATATATATTTTTTAGTTAATAGTAATACATTTTGATATATATAGAAATTTTTGACCTTGTATAATGATCTATTGTGTTACGTTAATAATTCTTTTTTTTTTGAATTATTATCAAATAAATCAATATTTGTGATGGACATAAATTAAATTTGAAGATTGGCCTACTTCTATGCACTTTTACTTTTTCTTCATCCAAATCCACCCTACATTATTTGGGCGGTTTCATTAATTAACAAGAAGAAAAATATTCTAATTTGAATTAGTCTTTTGAATTTTATAAATTAGTATTTCTTTGTTTTGTGTAATTCAATTGTGGTACTTTGGTTATAGAATTGTTCTGCTATATTATATTTGTTGTTTTGTCTACTATCTATTGTCTTTTATACTTTCATTACATCTTTTTCTAGATTGTTTTTGTTTTGAATCGATGGACGATCGAAAATAGTCTTTCTACATAACAATTGAGGTAAAGATTATAAAATTTGTGTATACTCTAAACTTCTCGTAAGTGAATTTTTTAAGTTATTTTATAGGATTTTGGTAGTAAGTAAAAAGAATATCATTCTATGAATATTTATATGTAATTTTGCAAACAGGATGAGGGTGGAATAGGTTAGGAGCTTTGATGAAGATTTTGTAGCTAACCTACATTAGAGAAATGAATTAAAATACAAGAATTCTAATTAACTTATATTATAAAAATAGTTAATGGAGTAATACTTTTGATCCCTTAGTTATCACTAAATTCTAATTTTAACTTTTATATTTTGTACGTACACAAAAAAATATTATCCGAAAAGAATTTGTATATAACCTACATAAATATTATTGAATATGAGATATGGTGGTCGAGTAGTGAAGATAGAGCTACAACGTAGGGTGAAGTATTCAATTGGTCACAAGCTCGAAGATTTAAGATTTGACACCAATTGATTAAAAATAGACGTTCGATATTCGATTCAGTAGGTTCATAATTTTTTATTTCCATAGTTTAGTAATATATAATCAAAAGTATATATAAAATATCAAATTTTGAAAAAATTCAATATTATTACGATGATCAAACTTTAGTACGTTAATTTTCACAATTAACCCCAAAGTCTCACCTGCCAATTATATGTTTTAATTTTTTTTTAATTACTCCATTTATTATAAAGTCAATGCATGAACTATAAAGAAGGGTAGGTTAAACTAGAAAATTAGGTGAGGCGTTTGGTTGATTAAAGTAATTAAGATAATAACAAACGTGATATTACAATGGGCGATTAGAAACTGGTTTCGGCTAAACATGGGGCAAAAAATCTTTTTTAGATCATAGGTTACTTTTTTCCTACCGATTATAATTCGATTTTGAAATTGAAACGTAATATATTTATTTTTATGGTCAATAACAAAGCCAAAATTTTATGAAATACTTTGTCACGGGTCAGTCAGGTTGGTTTTAACCTTTGCAAGATAAAAATATCACATAATTTAAATATGAAACTCATAAAAATATAATGATTTATAGGGAGTTTAATTATTAGCTGTATTTATGATATCTTTCAACTATTGAGGTTAATTTATTTATTTTTTGAATCCGAAAAATTTTGTCATTGAAGTCAGAAACTAATTTTGATGAATTTAAATGACATGATATTTGTTTTTTTTAAGCCAATAGGAAAAAGAAATATTAAATGAAATAGTCAAAATATTAAAGCCAATTTATTTTTGGGCAAATTACAGAATTCACATACTTTATAATTCATCCGTTAAAAGTTTATAATTACAAAAATTCCTCAAAATGAATACAATAATATAAGTGTTGATACATTAATTTGATGTATGAGATACAGTAATCTAATGCGCGAGCTACATTTTATACATGATACACTAATCGATGCGTGAGATACACTAATTTGATGCGCAATCTGATGCGCGAGATACAATAATCTGATACGCAAGGTACAATTTATGCATGATACAGTAATCTGATGCGCGATATACATCAATATGATGCGCGAGAATGAGGAATTTTGAAAATTTATAATACTTACGGGGAATAATGATGATAAGTAAACTAAAAGATGAGATTTCCGTAATTAATCCATCATTTTAGTCAAAAACCTCCTATCCAAAAAGAAATGCATTTAGTTTCTCATTTTTATTTGTAACTATAAAATCATGACGACCCAACATTGACCTGTGAGTAACTCTAGGATAGTTAACTTAAATATAACATCGATCTGTCATAAATTACATTTCACAATCAAAATATATTTTTTCTTCTTTGTTCGTATCACTGAAATCATAACGATCCAACATGATTTGGAGTAATCAATCTACAAGAACATCCAAACTGAATATAGTATGAAGTCATATCAGTCTGTCTCACATCCATTGGCGGAGGTAGAAGCTCAGCTATGGGTTCGATCAAACTCACAAACTTTTGCTCAAACCATATATTCACGTCGAAATATTCATCAAATATACATATATCAAAGTCAGAACCTAGTTATTAGTACTTCAAGTCGTTCTAAAACTCAGAACTTGTAAAGTTGAAATCATGGCTCCGCCTGAGTCACATCTTGTTAACACTGAGTATGGAGTAAATACCAGATATTGTATAAAAAGCTATAATTCTCATTTCATATAAAAGCTTGTGCCGAGTGGATTTACTTTACTGTATTTACGATAACTCGATAAAATACAAAGAGAACCAAAACGAATAAGGAAGAACCAAAAGAAAAAGATGAAAATAGTACCATCTGAGTATAATAGGCTTGAGGTTGAAAGCTGGGATCTCCTAAAATTATAAGATTATAGCTTCTTTTGATACAAATAGTACAACAGCGAGGGCATCCAAACTCGAAAGTGGACCTGCATAAGTGATATCGTCATATATAAAGAACAGGATAAATCTACAAGATTAATCCACTAGAGATGACGAATCTGATGAACAGTTGATAGACAAGTTCACAAATTTTACACATGAATGATTCATCCATTTTCTACCACCTACCTTAGTTAGGAGAATACCTGAAACTGAATTTGGAAGGGTGGACAAGTAAACAAAGAAAGTGAAGTTGCAGGTGATCTCATGCGGTCATGCTAAATGTACACCAATATTCTTAAAAGGCAACTAAAATTTGTAATGTGCAACGAAATAGTGCTCTTAACAAACTAATAAAAAGAGCGTGCAGGGTACAGACTGATCAGCTGCTCTAGGTTTGGAGTATATATGTTCTAAATATTACTCGACACCACCTCAGACCTACTAACTCTAAAGGGGTTTCCAGAAACTTGGGAATCACATTCCTATTGTTATTCCCACGATATGAAGAGAATGATAAAACAGTTCTGTGTCACATACTAGAGGTTCAACTTTATCATAATTACTATTGAGGTAATTCTTGCCTTGGATTAAATGATCCTTTTCCTTATTATATATGCCAGAGTACGACCTCATCATACCCTTCATTGTAGGGACACCACTTCCTAAAAGTATTCATCTTCTGGCTCAAAGAGCGTATATTCTCACAAATGAAATCCAGGTAGTCTAATATCCTTAAAAATGAATTAACTGTTTGTCTGCAAGGAGCTAAATACTACATTTTTCTGAAAAAATGATCTTCTCCCTTAAGGGTGTATATACTCACAAACGAAGTCTACGTAGTATGTCCTTATAAATGAGTTTAATTTTGTCCGCAAAGAGCTAATCTAACATTTTTTTATCTTTAGGACTACTACTAGGAAACATAACTCAAGAACACATTCAAAGATTTGGATCATCACTTTCTAATAAATTTCTATAGCATAACTACAATAAGCATGAAGCCACATAAGTGCGAGGGTTCAAGAAGAAGAAACATATCTAAGACCATAGTGATTTTGCAAAACCTGGGCAACAGATTAGAAATGCATTAATTTGTATATATTCATCCTCATTAAAGGGGATATATTCACCTTTTGCTGTAGGTTAAATGTTGTATTCATGAACACGCATCCATTTCGTAGATGACCACTTGTTACCCTTAATCACAGCGCACCCACCTACAGCAAGACACAGATAATTGAACTTGCTTGTCGACAAACTTTGTGGTAGCCATGAGCTATGCTAAGTTGTACAGAAGTTGATACTTCATGTGCAATAAAATCATCAGATAACATGACAATATACTGTAGTTAAGCTTCATAAATCAATCAGCATCCCTTGTGAGAATTCAGAACTCACTCTTAATGAATATTACTCACCATGCAAGCTTGAAGGATCAAGAGTAGCATCAGGCTTCATGCTCCAGAAAAGCAAAGCATCACCCATCTTTGGTTTTACAGAGAGTCCACCTTTTCCACATTCAGATAGCTCATTCCACCAAGGAACCGCACTAAAGTTTCCCTGGGCAGCAGGAAATACAGTTTCTCCCCCTTCTTCAACATCTGATCTGTGGAGCAGCAAGAGATATTTGACAGAGTAACTAACTAAATACATAAATATAAACCTCACATAGGGAAAACCACTTACAAGTACATCAAAACCGTAGCAATGCGTTGACCACCATTTTGAGTATTAAACTCATCCGAAAAGTAATCATAGTGTGGCTCATACTTTTGACCCACTTCATAGTGGAGAATTTGAAGACCTTCACCATGCTCTATAGACAGAAGCAGAAACACCAATTACATGTGCATAACGGTAAGCATGTCAAATAGTTCGGTAGTTAAAGAAGAAATTTAGTAAGTTTAGCTGCGTCAAGAAAAACAAATATGCCTGTCTGGTTGAACCATGTATATAATATATGCCTCCTTTGAGATCCTTTTTTCCAAAAGAAAATCAGCCCTCAAATAAACAAAAGATTTTATGGTCTGTATAGGGAAGAGGAGTAATTTGAAGCAGTTATTGACGCCCAGATTCTTTTTGGAACTGGTCACTTTGTATGAGTTGTCGTATCCAGATTTTGCATTGCAGTATTTGAAAAGTACTAGTTTAAGTTTGCACATGTAATTAATTTCCTATTCATCCCCACCCACTAATCATGCAATTGAACTGAATCTCAGATCGGGATAAAGCTTCTCCTGAGAAAATGCATACAACTTCAATAGCCATCAATAAAAGCAAAATCATTTATAGGCTGAAAGAAACGACCCTTTCTGCAGAGGATCACAACAAGAATATTGCCCTGGAAAATAACAGCTGAGCAAACTGGAATTCCTAAGTAAAAGCAGACGCTATATGTGATTCATAGTGAGACGAAATAACCAGTTCCTACTCCATCACAAAAAGAGACAGGTGGTATCATTTTCTATATCAACATGTATGGAGTTTTTTCAAGGCCTATGTAAGATCGAGCATCATGCAAAATGCACACACCCAGAGTAATAGCAAATAACAGTGTAAATTCATAGAATCACACATTTTGGTATAAAATCAGCATACCTACGGGTATAAAGGTGAAATCTGCAATCCTTTTCTCTATGGTCCTGACTACTTTATCTTGTCCCCTGGAAAGAAATGTTCCCGAACTTGTTCGAACCCTGCCAGGGAGGTTTATTAGTTAAAGCAGTGACAATCGAGATGAACAAGCACACGAATTGCTTACCTGCTATCTGTACTCTTGCCAGTAGCACTATCAACGACAGTTGACTTCTTCATATGAGGCTTTCCAAGATTAATCAGATATTCACATTCTTCCTTTGACTGCCCAAAAAACAGGAAGGAAGTTTAGAATAGTGACTTTTCAGAAAGAGTTGATGCATTGGTCAACAGATCCAGTATTAGATATGCTCAAACGAGAACATTAGTAACGACTCCAAAGATACAAGAAAATGCATCAACACACAAACCATTTATTTTTTCTCTTAAATCTATCCATTGTTAAAACTACTTCTATTCTATTTTAAATGGCACTTTTCCTCATTAGTTTGTTCCACAAAGAATGTCACACTTCTATATTGAGAAACAACTTAATTTCAAATTTCTCATATTTTTATAGCAAAAAAAATTCATAACATATTTCAGACCACAAGTTCTAAAGTTTTTTTCTTAAATTATATATCCAACCAAAACCGCTGCATAAATTGAAATGAAGGGAGTAATAAACTACACAAAGATTATGTTGTTCTGACATCTAGTTCTAAAGTTTTTCTTTGTTTCTTAAATTCTATACCCAACCAAATCGGCTACATAAATTGTGCTGACCCATCAGAAAGACAAAAAGCAAAATCCTGACTATCAATGTAGTGAATCTGAACTTTTTAGCAGGGTTTCTACATCATTTGCAATTTCCAATCAACAACAAAAGGAAACTTAAAAGAAAAAAAATCTGATTTGTTCTTCAGACTAGAGATATATTGTCCTTCAAAGCGTATTTTGGATATATTGTACTTCAAGGCGTATTTATGTTTCTTTCTTTCTAGAGAAACCACCATATAGCTGATAATGCATCTTTTCTTCCCCTTTTTTGGGTAAAGGTAAGAGTTATTGTCAAACAACAAACAGCAAAACATTAGCCATCAAATCACCAGGGAAATGCTACGATAGGGACACTAATATCAATATTGAATCAATATCGGCACTAGTTTCCTCAATATTATTGATGATTGCTGAAAACCAAGTTTAAGTGATCCACATGGTCTTGAATGACAGAGAAATGTATTTGGTTTCTCATAGTGGCACAGTGCAAAAGCAAATTGCATAGAGATACCAATGCTGATTAAAAGAAAGAAGAACGCAGGAATCAAGTGTTGCCATCGTTATGAAGTTATTTTGATTTTTTTTCATTTCATTACGTCAGTTGAGCTATCTATATTGATTTGTATCTTACCCAAATTCATAAGTAATGTGCCCTTCCCAAATTTGTGTAGTAAAAAAAATCAAATGCAAGAATTTCTCAAATCCTACACATGACAGTCTTCCTGACCATCACGAAAGAATATTACATTACCCTTATAGAAGTAGTATCCAATATCCATGAATGAATATCATGTCAATATAGTAATCTCAATCGAGCAAACCTGGGGTGCATTGAGTAAATAAAGACTGCAGTCTTGATTTCGAATAATCAAACATGCATCACAAAGCACATTGGCACTCCAAGACCTGTAATATAACTTATGGATTTGGAATCTGCCAGTAACTTTTGCTTAATTCATTAAATTTGTACAAAATATTTAATTGTGAACCCATTAAATAGCTATTGGGTTCGTAACAGTTAAAACCTGTAAACTTCAAATCTTGGTTCCACTTCTATGGGCACCTCCACCAGGTAAAATAGTTGGAAAATACCATCAAGACTAACTCCAAAAGGTATCAGTGCTCATTTCTTATGGAACTGCTATCCATCCACAATGCATTAAAATAAACCAGAAAAAAAAGTATCAAGAGACGACAACTCTTGATTCCCGTGAAATCACTTCAGCTCATTGACATAAACAAAGAAAAGTATCAAGCTTTGAACTTTTTTCGAGTCACTGAGTCATATGATCTATCTACATTGATAATGTATCTTATCAATAGAGTAATTTCCGTCGTGTGAACTTGAAGAGCATCAAGTAAATTATACGTCCATCATGAGTTCATATGGGGTGCTCCACTAGGTAAATAGTTGTGAAATCCCATCATGATCATCTCTGAAAGATGATACTACCCAACTATTCCTATACTGCTATTCATGCAAAATGTACTGAAATAAACCCAAAAAAAAATTAATGGAAGTACCAAGAAATTATGGTAGACGACAGCTCTTGGTTCCCATGAAATCACTTCAGCCCACTGATCTCCTCTTCCTCCATCATCATCTCGTCTGCAGCAAACAAAAAAATCCCATAAAAACTATCAGATCCCTATCAAATTCTGAAAATGAAAAAAGTAACCAGCAATCCTGAGCAGCTGTAGCCTTTTGATAATAGGTTTATTTTCTAAAATCTCAACAAATATTAGATTTAAACTCATAATTTTTAACATTAACAACGAATACAATGCTAAGAATCTTAAAAACTGAACCTATTAAATTCAAATTCTGGATCCATCTCTGCAAAAATAACCAAAAAAATACAATGAGAATCACCTTCCAGCAGCATTGTGAGCAATTGAGCTAAGATCATGTACTTTTCGCAATCCTCTAGAAGTGAAAGGAATCGAGAAAATTCCAAAAGCGAGAAGAATCAGCACGAAAAATGAAAACCCAATAAACACGGCAAAAATCAGCGTAGAGTTAGATGATTTTCGAGATAAACCTCGGAAATGCCTCCCTTTGACTGCCATTGTTGCTGAAAATTAAGCTCTGAAAAATCAAATTGGGAATTTATCAACCCTAAAATTGATTTGGGTACAAATCCGGAAAATTTTTGAGATACAGTAAACTCTTTGAGTAATTAATGTATAATTTTAATTTAATACGGAATCAATATATATATATACGCCTATGTGGCATGCCTCAATGAAGGGAAAAAAATAATATATATATATATATATATATTAAAATAGGGTTTTTTAGATTTATTTTTTTACACAATAATATTATGGGTGTATATATATTGTTATTAATAAGTTACTTAATGAGCATTACACCTCCTAACCTTTTAATAATATATATAACACCTAACCTTTAATTTAATAATATAACTCCTAACCTTTCATATTCATAACCTTCAAAATATTTAATATATAAAAATTATAACTCCTAAATATTACACATATAACCCACTTTGAGACATTGCATGATGATCATTTTATTTTTATTTTCCTTATTCTTCATTTTTTGTTTCTTTGATTTGTTAATTTTTTTATCTTCTTTGATTTGATTTTTGCAGGAGAGGGATGTATGATTAAAAATGTTATATATTTTGCATAGTTTGATTTTGTGAGGTAAAATGATTTGACATGTCTAATTATCATAATCAAATTTGTTCTATTGTAATTATATATTTGATATTATTAGGTTAAATTGTTGATAATACAAATCATGATTCTTTTATAGAAAAAATAATTTGTTCATTTTCTTTTTTGCTTCTCTTTGCAGTTTTTTGAGATTTTTTTCTTATTCTTATAGTTTCTACCGACAATGATTATCTTTAATTACTTTGTAAATTTGAATAATTGAATTATGTTATATTGAAAACATGATCTTCTTTCCCCTCGTCAAATCATATATAACTAAATATTTTAAACATATTTACTTGATTAGTTAATTATAATTTTTTTTTAATTGTTATTATTGTAAGGATTGTAATTATGTTATGTTGAGAATGTGATCTTTTCCCTTCAAATCATATATAACTAAATATTTTAAATATTTTTGCTTGATTATAGTTAACATAATTTTATGTATGTTAGTTGGTATTATTGTTAGGATTGTTTATAGTTCTCCGGTTAAACCTCTGATGCAATAAGAGTTGATTGATTCCTTATCAGATTAATTAGTTAATTGAAAAACGTTAATATATCTTATTTCTAATTTCGTCTAACAATATCTTCCTCCTCACTAGCTATAAAAATGTTATACAAATACATAATAAATATAAGTAATATATCACGTCTCAATATAAAGTAAATAAAATACTAAATATTAAGTACAAATATTATATAGCTAAGAATCAAATAAATTGATTCCTCTTGTAATTTCATATCTCACAATCACATAACAATGATAGGGTAAAAATACATAATTTTAACGATGCATATTTATTATATTATTTATACATAGAAATTATTTATAGGCCAAATATTTCACAATTTTGAGAATTTAATCAACAAAAAATTAAATATTTTTTAATTTTATTTTAAAACATCCGTATGATTACTCTTTTTTTTGATAATTTAAAAAAAATCTGTTCTTTTTGATTAACTTTTTATTTCTATGTCCCTTTCTAAATTTATTTTTAATTAATCTTTCTCTTAATAGATATTTCTCCTATAATATAAAATAAGAGAAAAAGTATATATTGTTCAAAATAATAGTAATTACTAAAAATAATGTTTATTATTAGAAGCATATTTGGAGACTTTTAATAATTTGAAATCTCTAAAATGAGGTAAAAAGAAAATATGTCATATAATAAAATAAATCATAAAAATGGTGGAGGATTTTACTAAAACATACTTTTGTATATTAAACAAATATGTAACTTTTTTTTTATATTTTTCCTCTTATTTTTATATATTTATTTTTAATTTAATTTTTATCATAAACTCACACCTCTTCATCTTTCATTTCCTCTATACTTAATTAATACTTATTAGTAATACCTATAACTTCCAACTTTATACCTTCATAATCTCAAATTACTTAATGTTTAAATTCGTGACATCTTAAAAGCACATCAAAAAAATATTTTTAACCAAATATATTTATGTTTAGTTTAATTGTCCTCTACTTTAATCTTGTAATGCAAAATCTATCGATAAAGACTGATTTGTGTAATTATTTTTATTTCTAATAAGAATGATACATAATAAGATATATAAAAGAGAATAATTGATTTGTTTTTTTGCATGAAATTATAGCAAGATCATTACTAAAAGTAAGACAAAAACAATTCTTGAAAATATTAAAATGTATTTGTAGATACGCTTAGCGGCGGGAGATAATCAAAATTATTATGAAGTTATTTTTAAATTTTAAATAAAATATAAATCATGAAAAATATAATAAAAATTAATTAAAAGAATTCATTTAAACATTTTGCTTAAATTAATAAAAAGCTAAAGACAACCTAATTTGATTATGTTAAGATACGATGCTAATTGTTATCAAGACAATTGGCTGAATCCCGTGAAACCATTTGTGTTTGTGTTTTCTTAATGGAATTAAATAAGCAAAGACTAAAAAAATAAAAAATAAAAAAGGAAGACTAAAAAATAGCGTTGAAATAAATTTAAAAGAAAACGTAGAATTATAGAAGAGAATTCATTAAGGAAAAAAATACTACAAATAATCATTTCAATTATACTTATTACTTAACCATTCATCCTCCATTATAATGATTCTAAAAATTTACTTAGCTTTTCCTCCTACACTTTAATTATATGAAAATATTATTTATCGTCAATAATTATAAATTTCATATTATTTGTGAACAGTTTTTCTATGTTTACTTTATTTATAATTTCAAGAGTCTAATTATAAGTTTTTATTAGATATATAAGTTTTTTTTTTAATCTTAACAGAAAACCTTTTATCATTCATTTATAGTTGTTCATTTATTACTTATTTTATTACGCGTTTTAACAATAATATATTATTTTTATGTTAATTCTCTATCACTAAAAATAATTTTACCGAATTAAAATCATGTATCACACATTTCCTTCCAAAGAATCAAATATATAGAGAGAAAACATTAATTTTAATATATACATATTGAAGTACTTTTTTAAGTCTTCAAATTATATATAGCTTATCTATTACAAATAATTTTTCATATTTCTAAGTCTGTTTTTGAATTTATTACTATTTTATTTCTTTTGATATTTTTTAAAAATTTAAAAGACTAAAAATCTCACTTTAAATTTTTAACAAAACATCAAAGTTAACCATATTTAATTTTGAGAACTCATTCAAATGGATAATAAAGTCATAAATTCTTAATTATATATTATAACTAACATAAAAGAATAGTAACTATTAGACCAAAAAAATATAGGTATTTGACTGTACTGCTAATTTAAGGTATTTATTTTTTGTTAAAATTAATTCATGAATTGAGTTGAAATTACAAAGCTAAATGATAAAATTTATTAGCTAATCTATTTGGATTTAAAAATTAAATAAAAATGAAAACTTTTATACACCGCGCATAGCGCGGCTAAATTTACTAGTATATATAAAAATGAGGATTTTCATTCTGCCTATGTGGCATGCCTCAATGATCTAGAAAAATATTTTTCTATTTTAAAAAAAATTAGGGCCTATTAAATTATTTCTTACACAATAATATTATGTGTATATATATTTTACTATTAATTAGTTGTTTAGTGAGAATCACACCTTCTTTAAATTAAGGAATTCCAAAAGACTGCCATATTGCCTCAAACGTAAAAAATTATTTTTATAATATTTTTTCCTAATGTTTTTTTTCTACCTATTATTTTTAAGTTTATATTTATTATAATTTTTTTAGTTTTTATTATTATTAATATACCTTCTATTTTTATTATTTTTTAAAAATAAAAAAAATTATATATATAACAAAGCTAAATAAAAAATTAGGTGATGTGGCAAATCTCAATCTCAATGGCCACCATTCATATTTATCTTTTTTTTTTTAAATTTAAAAATTTATTATTTATTTGTATGCTAGGTTAAAAATCACTTTAAAATCATAGTTTTTAATTACACCTCCCTCATTAACTCTTCTTTATTTCTCATTAAAAAAATTAATTTATGAAACTCAAAAGATTATCATTGATCCTCTAATAACTCTCTATAAAGGGCTACTCTACAAAATAAAAGAATCTTTTATCTTCCTTGTGTTTAATTCTCATGACTTCATCTATCACTATATAAGTATCAGAAATACATGTTACATATGACAAAAATTGTTATCATCTCAATGATTTAGGATATTATGGTTAAATATTTTTGTTTTAATGTTTTTTTCTTCAAATTTCCATTTTTATTTTTTACATGTACTAATTGGTTCCAACATATGGAGTCGAACTTCTTATTTTGCAGGTTTATGTTCAAAGGAACATGTTAGAGGAGCGCAAGATAATCAAGATTAATTCGAGACTAAAGAAATGTTTTTATCCTCCACATGATGAGTAACAAGTTTAATGTTACTTCCCTAATTTTGTATATATTAGTTGAAGTGCTTAAGTTTTTTGTTATTTTTTGTTAGTAGTTTGTTGTTTAAAGTTCATCACGAATTTTAAATATAAAATTTTTTTTTCTATTAAACTATATGTACAAAAAAGTAAATTACAAATGTGTATTTGATTTTCTGTTTTCAATTTTCTTCTTATAATGTTATCGTAGGAGAGGTGATGTGGCATGCTTCGAAAGTCAAGAATGACATTTATTTATTTTTCTCAATTTTTGACATTTTCTTAATTTTTTACATTTATATAATTTATTTAAAGACCTACAAATTATATATTACTTACATTAATTTAGAAAGCTCAAAAGTTATTATTTAAACTAAATAATTGACACGTTTTAGATTTTACATTTTACATTCGTTTTGCTCATTTTTTCATGGGTGAATATTGAACCATATTTATAATCCAATTAAATTGAACAATTAATATATTCAATGTCTTATGTCTATGTTTCTTTATATTCTTTTATATTCCTTATTTATTTTTTGTGATTGTGAGCTTCACTTTTGCAAGTCGTTTGGTTTATGCCTAAAGGTTAAAATGTCTAATTTTACACACAC